CTGTACGGTATGAAACGGATAACAAAAATTGAAGAATAGTGTTTTTTATTAAATTTTGTAATTTGTGATTGTGGAATCCAGAAAGTTGATCATTTTCTTCCTTCTCTATAGCGAATGTGATGGAAGGGTGGGGAGACTAGAAGAAATTCAAGAACTTATGCAACAGTCTTATTTTTTTTTGTGTAACACACTAGAATGTCATCGATTTATACCAATAAGCGGATTATCGTCATTAAACAGAGGTAATGTCCATGATGAATGATGGATTTTATGAAAGGTCCATGGTTTGTTCCGAATGATAGCCATTATACCATACATGCGTTTGATTATTATTGTTATGCGATATTGAATTGTTACTTTATCTTGTTTCGCTCAAAGAAAAGTACAGGTATAGGATATGCTCCACAAACATGATTTCTACTCTAAAATAGTCCTCACAATGGTATAATGTATGATTCAATTAAAAACTTCTATGTTTATGACATTACATGTGGATGTTATTGTTATATGTTAAACTTTCTTCCAGTTTTAGAAATGAAATGTAGCAACTCACCCTGATAGGTGTATAAACGTTGGCATATAAACAGTCTTCTGTACCACGTGATTGGAATATTTCGCCAATAATCCTGAACTGTGTCTCTACGCACCCGGATTGCAATTTAAATTTACTATATTTACTAAACAAAATTCGATGACCAGCTAGTTTCATAGTAGTAAAATTGACAGCATCACGGAAAATATTTAATTGAGCTAAGCAAATTATAAGCAGATATCACTAAATACCTTTCACATCTCAATGGTAGAGAGAGGTTAGGTTGAGTTAGGTTAGGTCCACAGTGAGTGAGTCTATTCGACCCTCCACCGCAACCCGCAAAGGTTTATTATGGCTCATACCTATTCACGCTCGACCAAATAAACCCAGCTTTTTAACGATTCTCAACGAAGCCGATTAGTTTGTATGGTGAGTGGTCTTTCAGGTCAGATGGTAAAAGTACGGTTCTGCCGAACAGCGGGGCAGGCACAAATTATGTGCTCTGCTGTTCCATAATTTTCAAAACAAAGGCGATACACACTGTCTTTCGACAGTCCGAGTCTCCGCATATGATGATTCAAATGAATCATCCACTCAATAATTTGCTATATTTGTCAAACATAATTCAATGACCAGCTAGTTTCATAACAGCAAAATTAACAGCATCATGGAAAATATTTGAGTTGGGCTAAGCAAATTGTGAGCAGATATCCCTAAATGCCTTTCACATCTCAATGGTAGATAGAGGTAGTATACGTTTCCATAAAGTTCCCATCGTGATCACAAGTTAGCCTTATGCTCTCTTGTTTGAATCTATGTGATAGATGAAAAGTTTTGACATATTACTGAAGGCCTTCTATACTATAATCAGCTGACCCTGCGAGCTTCGTAGTCATATGTTAGTCACATATTAGTCATATCAACTCATTATATTGAAAATCTGGAGAGATATTTTTTTCGATTTCTACTTCTTCATCGTGAAACAGAAAATATGATGTTCATGTGGAAGTAGTTGTATAGTTTGTATTCGAAAGAAACTTACTCCTTACTCATTCGGAAGTATCGAGCTTTTTATCGATTCTTACTTATCGGAAATCATCGACTTCATGTTGATGATAGACACTACCTTGCACTGATGAGTGGCCAAACAGCCCGAAACCGGTCTGCAAGTGTGTTTCAATAATTGGAAATCGATTAATGATATTATCCGTATGAAACGGATAACAAAAATTGAAGAATAGTGTTTTTTATTAAATTTTGTAATTTGTGATTGTGGAATCCAGAAAGTTGATAATTTTCTTCCTTCTCTATAGCGAATGTGATGGAAGGGTGGGTAAAATTGAAGAAATTCAAGAACTTATGCAACAGTCTATTTTTTTCTGTGGAACACACTAGAATGTCATCGATTTATACCATTAAACGGATTATCGTCATTAAACAGAGGTAATGTCCATGATGAATGATGGATTTTTATGAAAGGTCCATGGTTTGTTCCGAATGACAGCCATTATACCATACATGCGTTTGATTATATTAGTGTTATGCGATATTGTTTCGCTCAAAGAAAAGTACAGGTATAGGATATGCTCCACAAACATGATTTCTACTCTAAAATAGTCCTCGCAATGGTATAATGTATGATTTGATTAAAAACTTTTGTTTATTTCATTACATGTGGATGTTGGCATAATGCAGAGAAAAAAGTATTCTCAAGATCTAGATCACCGTTTCCTATAACAGTAACCAAATTTGGAACTTCATTTTTGTTCTCTAAATACGCCTGATAATAATAATCTTACACGAAAATGTAGAATGCCCTGTATAGAATTATTACTGCATGTTTTTTTCTCTCAGAAAATTCATATATTTATAGTTCTCATTGCAGTTGTGAATCATTAATAACTATGACACCAATAAATAATCATAATTAAGATCACTTAGATTTTAGGATTTTCAACACGTCAAATGTTTTCACATGTTTTAATACTTATACACTCAGATGTTTCGTTTCTTATGATTCATTTTATTCATCCACTGTTTGCATATGTGATATCTATAATTTTATATACATTTTCGTAGGGTTCCACATCACTAGCTTGCTCATTCAATGATTGATCTTTTGCCTGTTATTGCACTATGTTAAACTTTCTTCCAGTTTTAGAAATTAAATATAGCAACTCACCCTGATAGGTGTGTAAACGTTGGCATATAAACAGTCTTCTGTACCACGTGATTGGAATATTTCGCCAATAATCCTGAACTGTGTCTCTACGCACCCGGATTGCAATTTTGTCGTTGCGTTTAATACACCTTTCCATCGTTTTACTGGATGTGGGTCCTGGAAGTGGAGAAAAAACAGATAATTAATTCAGCAATACCTAATTGAATTTGAATTGACTATGGTTGAACAAAAAAAAAAGACATGCTGATAGATATCGTTGTTCAATAAAATTAATAATCTAAAGTAACCGTATAATTAAAATAGATTTGATATCAAATATCTTCTCAGTCTTGCGATAAACCTTTTCGGAGTCTTGCCATAATATGAAAGTTTTATGAAATATTTTAATTTTATATGAAATTATTACGTACGTAAACATAAATTCCCATCTTACCTTAATCTCGTCTGAGATTCAGATAAGTGAAAAAAATGTTCTGAACCGATTGAAGAAGAGATGGGAGTAACGTATTCTAAAAAACTTTATTGTGTGATTTTCACTAGACAGTTTTACAAAAACGCACCTCCCTCTCAGTGGTTAATTTTATTGACGGGTGGATGGAATTGACATATTCAATGAACTTGCCTAGTTGCCTATCTGTACCAGTAAAACATACTAAGATATCATCTACGTATCTGTACCAGTACAAAAAACTGTTAGCTAACTGATAGTTATGGATTTCATACTCTATGTTATCCATGAAAATTTTCGCCAGCAGGGGACTCAAAGGGTTCCCCATTATTGGTCCTTCACTGCATGAATTGAATTTTCCGTCAAACTGGAAATAATTTTGAGATAGACAAATGGTAAGTAACTCTACAATTTCCTGTTTTATCAGTGGATTCACGTGGTTTTTGTCTAAGAGACACTCAACTAGTCCAATTGTTTCAGTTGGCGGAATACTGGGAAATAAATTTTGGACATCGAACGATATTAATTTTGCGTTATCCGGAAGAATTACGTTCTTGATGTTATCCACTAATTGATAAGAATTATCTATACTGAATTTTGGCCTGGAATTGGTATAGGTTTGAATCAATTTAATCAGGATTTCTGGGATGTTTACGGTAGGTGCCGTTACAAACGACACCACTGGTCTAATCGGGAAATTGGTTTCGTGTAATTTAATAAGAAAATACAGTTTTGGTGGTTGTGGATTCATGATCAATGCTCTACATTTATCCTTTTTATTCACAACCAATTCTATTGTTTTGAAAGTTTCCTCAACCTTTTTCTGGTACATAGTTGTAGGGTCATTCCTCAGAATCTCGTAGCTTCCTGAATTAAGGAAATCTAGAGTTTTTCCTTTGTAGTCCTTTTTATGTAATGCAATAACCGTTCGACCTTCATCTGCTCTCGTAAAAATCACTTCATCATCTTTAACTTTTTGCTCGATTGATTTTGCAATTTTACTTTCTCCATCAGACTCCCAGAGATGGGGGCAATGATATAAAAAAAAAAGATACTCGTGAAAATCGATAACTAGTGACAACATGCATATATTTAGAAGCAATATAAATTAGTAGCGATGATATAAAATCGGATTGGTAGAGATTGGTAGAGTAGGAAATGATGTCATCAGAGTAGGATCCTAATAATAATCAATGGAAGATCCAAAAAAAAATGTTACAAGAGCAGAGAACTATCAAGTATACATTAAAATATGTTTGAAATATGTTTTTTCGTCAAACAGGTGTCGCACCCCTACAAACGACAACCCTCAGAAGTTGAAACTTGTGCGAGGACTAACGAGGCCTTACCTTTCAACGTGTGATTCCTAACACGAGGTGGAACGAGAGGTAACCGACCCAACAGTGAAAACACAAAAATTATTTATTCTCAACATAATCTCCTTGCAGCTCTATACACTTTTCCCAGTGACATTCAATACCGTTTTCATGAAAAAACTGTCTTGCTCCTCAAAATAGTCATTAACTGTCGACATCACTTCCTATTCGTTGAAAAATCTTTGATCAGTGAGCCATTTTTTCAAGTTTGCGAACAGAACATTATCGAAGGGGGCTAAATCTGGCGAATAGGATGCATGAAGTAGCAATTTGAACAATTCTATGATGTATTTGTGAGATGGTGGATTGTCTTGATGAAACAACAGCATTTCCTTAGCTACATGCGGCCGTCTTGTTGCAATAAGTTCGCTTAATACTCGCCGTCGACAGTTTTACTTTTTTTAAGATAGTAATGAAAATTATTGCACGCGAATCCAAGAAAAAAACCGATTCCATAACCTTGCCTGCAGATGAAACGGTCTTCGCCTTGTTTGGAGTCTGTTCTCCTTTTGGAGTCCAATGATTTTAATGTTTTTTTGTCTCGGGTGTTTCTATCCATGATTATGAAATGACGCAAGAATTCTGATTTGTTCGCTGAACACTCAAGTGAAACAACACCTTCACGAGACTGTTTCTGATCAAGTCTGAGCAAACGTGGCACCCACCATGCACACAGATTTCTCATGTCCAACTTTTCAGATAATTTATCATGTACCTCACTTTTTGAAATGCTCACTAAGTCAGTCGACGATCATTCACTACCGCTTTGTGAATTTTCCCCGTCGTTTCTGAAGTCGTCACCTCATTTGATCGACTAGTGCGATGCTCGTCTTGACAAATCGTACGGCCCTGTTTAAACTCTACTACCCAATATTTTACTGTTGTAAACGAAGAAGCAGACTCATTCGGAGTACAATCCAGTTCAGTTTTTATGTTGATTGGGCTGGAGCCTTTCAAATAAAAGTATGACGATCAATTTTCTCCATTTTCACAAATTCACCAAAAACGTTCGCTTCAAACTTGGAATTTATGAAAAATACGAGTCTTATCTCAATCACCAAATGATCATCTTCCAGGAGAGTTTGATCTTCCTCTTGAAGATGATCACTTGGTGATCGAAACACGTGTCGAGGTGTTGAAATATTGATTTGGTGTTTGGCTAAATCTCCAGTAATATTCATTACTACACCAAAGGTCCCGACTACTTTCAGCATCAACGCTGGTGTTCCCCAGGGATCCATATTGTCTCCAACCCTCTTTTTATTGGATATCAACGACATATTGGAAAAAACCAATGATCCAATATATTTTTGCTGATGACAGCATACTTGTCTCGTCATTCCATTTGGATTCCAGGACGTCGCCTACGGAGGCACATCTTCACCGGCAGCAGGAGGTTGCATATCTTAATGAGGATCTAGAAGTAATTTCGAATTGGAGTGAAAGTAACCAGATTCAATTCAATACCACAAAAACCCAGGCATCGATTTTATCCAAGAAGATTAATGTCTTCGAACCGGAAATAATAATGTCAGGTCAATAAATATTCTGCTTTCTGCTTCGATAACTTTGTCGGAGGTTAAAATGAACACCAATATGTCTTGGCACAATCATATCGCTGGAATTACGATAGCTGCTTCCCAAAAGTTTGGAACAGTCTTCCGAACCAGAAAACTATACACAATCCAGCAACTTTCGATGCTTTATGAAGCTCAGATCAGACCTTCTTTGGAGTATTGTTCACGTATATGAAGCTCTGCCCCAAACATACTTTGAAGTTGCTGGATTCCATCCACAAAAGAGCCATCCGCCTGATTGGAGACGCAAACATCACGTGCAACCTTAATAACCTGGAATATCGAAGAAAAGTTGGAGGTTTGTCTCTCTTCTATAGATACTTTCAAGGGAGATGTTCAAGTGACTTGGCACATTTGATTCTACCAAGAGAGGTATATATTAGAAATACGCCACGGACTGTGGCTGCTCATCTTTTTGAGGTTCAACTCAGTATACCTCGAACATCACTGTTTGAGAACACTTTAATGTGGAGAACTGCGTTTATATGGAATAAACTTTCTGAGAGAGTTTTTCCGAATGGATTTATCCTTCAGAGATTCAAATCCAATGTGACTCACTTCTTTCGCACAGGCACCACTTTGAGAGCGCCTTAAGGATTTTCCTGTAGTGCTTGTGTTTTTTCCTTAAATACAGGTTCCAAACAGTGCATGATTCACACATCTTTCTGAGGAGTTTATTTTGAACTTTTTTTGCTCTCTTTCTCTTTTCAGAAGCTTTATACATCTTCATTGGGTATGTTCTAATAACCATAAGGATTTGTGATAACAACGTGAAACTCTGAAACATCTGCTTCAATGAACTATATTAGAATAAAAAAAAGTATGTCTCTGATTTTGATAATTCAGAACTATATATCGTACCTATCCTGATATGCCATTACATCGCAGATGTTGTTGGTTCACAGATGGATCAAAAACACCTTTTGGTTCTGGGGCAGGTGGTTTCAGTCGCAGACCCAGGACAGAGATATCAATCTGCCTAGGAACCTATGCCAGTGTAGTTCAAGCAGAAATTTACGCTATTGAATTGTGTGCGGACAGATTGGAAGGGTTAAACCTCAAATAAGTCGATAAAAATATTCTCGAACAGTCAAGCAGGGTTGTGAGCTCTTGGTTCCTACCGAGAAATGTCAAAACTGGTAGCAAATTGCCAAAAACGACTCTCCTCGATGAGATGACTTAACAGATTGTCTCTGGTCTGGATTCCTGGCCATACTGGCCTGGAAGGCAATGAGGCTGCTGACTCGCTTGCAAAGGAGAGTGCTGCAAGCAGCTCCATCGGACCAGAACCTGTCATTGGCATCGCTTTAGGCTTTGCCAAACAACGATTGAACACCTGCATGGCACTAAGATTTATGGACTTCTGGCAGAATCTTCCAGGATTGGCTCACTCCAAGGCGTTTATTCACCCTTCGAAGCTTGATGACAAAAAGTTGTTGGACTATAGTAGGGATGAACTACGCTGTCTAACAGGCCTTCTTACGGCTCACTGTCATTTGAATCATCATATGACGAAACCCGAACTGTCGGAAGACATTGTGTGTCGTGTTTGGAAAATGATGAAACAGCAGAGCACATACTTTGTACCTGCCCCACTGGCGACCGAATCAGGTTTTTGGAGTTCGGCAGAGCCGTACTCTTATCATCCGACCTGAAAGACCACTCACCATACAAACCAATCGGTTTCGTTGGGAAGCTGGGTTTATTCGGTCGAGTATGAATATGTGTGAGCCACAATAAACCTTTGCGGGTTGCAGTGGAGGGTCGAATAGACCCACTCACTTTGATCCTAATTCTACCTAATATTGAGTAGAATGTGAATTTATCGGCGACAGAAAATATAAAATTTTGCTGTTTTCCACATTCATTAACGAACTCAGTTGTCTAATGTTAGCCATTTTCAAAATAACTGTTAAATTATAGAATTTTTCTAGGGTCGAAACATGTTTTAACCTGTGCTGATTATATATAGAGTATTAATGAGATTGATACTGTTCTTCTGGCACGAATGAATTTGCACTCCCCAAACATATTTCATTCAATAGCAGTTCGATATAGTAATGAAAATGAATCAATTGGAATACAAAAGGGCTTGAATGATTACATCAATATTATTTTTGGACTAATCGAAACATCCAATTTTCCAATGAGACAGAAGTCAATTTGTTTGTAATTTTTCATGCAAATGATAATAAGATGAAATTTATCAACTCTTTCATTTCCAAACTTACCCTAAATCTCAGGGAATTCAGAGGTGGAGCAGCATATGGTATACCGTAATATGCGAAATAGGACTTTCCATGTTCCAGATGAACCTGGGTTCCTTGTATAATACCGCTCTTGGTGGCTACTTGCAAAGTAGAATTCTGAAAACAAAATTTAAGTTTTCAACTGTCATCATTTTTCTACAGAGCGGTTGGATGAACTCACATACTCGTTTTTACTGACGAAGGAAACTGCAACTGTTTCACCAACGATTATGGACCATAAAATTAAACCAGATAGGTTTTTCGAAATCATTTCAGCTGGCAAATTCGTTATTTCTTCACGTCTGTGTGTCCCACAAAAAATAACCGATCTTCCAATTCACTGAGTATGTCTAATGTTATTTTATGATACTTTATTGATTTTCTATATTTCATACAATTAATTCATTATTGCAATTAATACATTATTGTCAGCGTTGGCTGTACGGTGTTTGTATTAATTGATCCCATCACCTACATTTCAGCATCTGAAGGGTACGATACCGATGAATTTTCATGAAGGTTACACAAGTTTCTGATAGAAATGTCCAAAGTATCCGATGAAGGGCAGTATTTTTACAGGGAGTAAAGAAGCAATATATAAAGATGTATATTTGTAAAATTTAATATAAAATTTTCCAATTACTGAATAATCTATATNAATTTAATATCAAATTTTCCAACTACCGAATAATTTATATTTTTACACATTATGAGATATCAAAAATATGACCGTGAAAAATTTCTGTTGAGATAGAAAAACAATCAAGTTATTGGTTTCCTGATCTAGTAGACGAAATGATCTAATAATGTTAAATTATGCTGATGATGTTCTTAGGTATATTATCGCTTTCATTGTCATTGTGCTTGATGTGGTGTATTTCATGGTTCAATATTCAGACTTATCGAATAATCTCAAAGTGATACCACTGAATGAGTGTATTAGTTCTTCAGTAACGTGATTTTGAAAACTGTAGTGGAATAATCTCAAATCACACGTTGAAAGGTAGAATCTCGTTAATCCTCAGCTCGCACAATGTTCGACTTCTAAGGGTTGTCGTTCGTAGGGGTGCGACAGTTGGTTAACGAAAAAACATATTTTATTTTAACATAAGTGTTATGGACTTTTACTGAAGGTTTGAACACATCTTCAAGTGCTGACTTAGGTTATGAAAATCGCAATCGAAAGCAAATTTCCATCAATAATTTTTCAACTTCAAAAATTCAATAGGTCGGTTTTGAAAATATAAGAAATCTTTATATTCACGATATGTTGATTAGGCTAATTGAACATGTGGATTTTCACTTGCTGAAATACCTTTTACTCATTGGGACTCAAAAGTGAGCTCCTCAAAGCGAATCTGTAACATTATGAGTGTACTATTCTTTCATCAAAAAACCAGCCGGAAATCGATTTGATTCAGCCATTTTCCACGAAACATTTCTGATTGAATGTGCGATTATGAAAATTTATTATAGATCGAATTCATCAACTAGAGAGTAAATAATCCATTATTGGACTTTTCTTCGACATGTCACGTCTATTTCTAGAAGCTCGTAAGCTAATAGTGAAAATTACTGAACAAACTTCCGACAATTACTTAATCGACACTGGTATTCCGCAGGGGAGCGTTCTCGGTACCTTGATTTTTTTATTGTTCATCAATGACATTCCTGATTACATAAATGACGGAGAGGTTTATATGTTCGCATACGATACATCTGTAATAGTATCCAGCTCAGGTACAAATGAGCTACTCAGAAAAACAAATAACGATATTCTCCAACTCAATAGTTGGTGTGAAAATAATCATTTGATCATACATTATTCCAAAACCATTGCGGTTCAATTCCAGGGATCCAAAACAGAAAAGCTTTCCACTGAACAACTAAACATTAATAATCAGACAATAATATTTCAAGAAAGTTGCAAATTTCTAGGTACAATTATTAATAGCAATCTCAGATGGGAGGAATGCATAACTATGATCTGCTCCAAATTGAATAAACACTACTTGGCAATAAAACATTTGATAAGTTGCGTTGATGCGGAGGGTATAATTTCTTTTGTTCGCATTGGTTAACTCAAGTATAAGTTATAACATTGTAGCTTATGGTTTGGCCACCGATAGTACCAGAGTCTTTTTAGCACAAAAAAGGATTATTGAGAATCCTGCAGAAATATCTGCAAAGAAATAAAACTTCACTTTTACGAATATTTATTTATACAAACTTCTGATTCACACCTACATTCACAAAAACAGTCTCATGCAAAATTCAAAATTTTACAACTACCAAACTCGCAAAAAAACGAATTTAGACTAGAACTAGCCACATACAATTACAAAAAATCTCCAAAATGTGCAGGCGCGAATTTCTACAATTTATTACCCCATGAATTGAAAAATCAGTCGAACCTGTTCAGATTCAAGTCTTAAACTGATATATTTTCTGCTTCTGAAAACATTCTATGATATAAAGGAATTCACGATGTGGTATGAGAGTCCTTTTGGCGATTTTAATTCTATTGGATAGTTTTATATAAGTATTTTTATATTTTACTTATGATGCACTGTTTGGAACCTTTGGTGTAGTAATGCATATTACAGGAGTTTTTTCACAACACCAAATCGTTATTTTTAACACTTCGACACGTGTTTCCATCACCAAGTGATCATCTTCAAAGAGGAAGATTAAAACTCTTTTAATCTTCCTCTTTGAAGATGATTACTTGGTGATCGAAACACGTGTTGAGGTTTTAAAAATAACGATTTGGTGTTGGGAAAAAATTCCAGTAATATTCTTCTATTTATCTATATATCTATCCAAAAACTAATTTATGGAAGAATCAAACACTCAACGTATTTAAAAATAATTTGTTATTAGTTTTTTTGCGAAATATTTATCAAAACCGCAATCTGTGTTTCACTATACAGTATCTTTTTGAGGTATGTTAAATACTTTTATACCACTCAATAATTTACTATATTCATTAAACAAAATTCGATGACCAGCTAGTTTCATAGTAGTAAAATTGACAGCATCACGGAAAATCTTTAATTGGGCTAAGCAAATTATAAGCAGATATCACTGAATACCTTTCACATCTCAATGGTAGAGAGAGATTAGGTTGAGTTAGGTTAGGTCCACAGTGAGTGAGTCTATTCGACCCTCCACCGCAACCCGCAAATAGGCTAATACCTATTTACACTCGACCAAATAAACCCAGCTTCTTAACGATTCTTAACGAAGCCGATTAGTTTGCGAGTGGTCTTTCAGGTCAGATGGTAAAAATACGGTTCTGCTGAACAGCGGGGCAGGCACAAATTATGTGCTCTGCTGTTCCATAATTTTAAAAACAAAGGCGATACACACTGTCTATCGACAGTCCGAGTCTCTGCATATGATGATTCAAATGAATCATCCACTAAATGCCTTTCACGTCTTAATGGTAGATAGAGGTAGTATACGTTTCCATGAAGTTCCCATCGTGATCAAAAGTTAGCCTTATGCTCTCTTGTTTGAATCTATTTGATAGATGAAAAGTTTTGACATATTACTGAAGGCCTTCTATACTATAATTAGCTGACCCTGCGAGCTTCGTAGTCATATGTTAGTCACATATTAGTCATATAAACTCATTATATTGAAAATCTGGAGAGACATTTTTTTCGATTTCTACTTCTTTATCGTGAAACAGAAAATATAATGTTCATGTGGAAGTAGTTGTATAGTTTGTGTTCGAAAGAAACTTACTCCTTACTCATTCGGAAGTATCGAACTTTTTATCGATTTTTAATTATCGGAAATCATCAACTTCATGTTGATGATAGACACTACCTTGCACTGATGAGTGGCCAAACAGCCCGAAACCGGTCTGCAAGTGTGTTTCAATAATTGGAAATCGATTCTGGCAGTTGTATCGTCAACATTATATGGAGAAATACCTTCAGTGAAGAATCTGACACCTGTCGGACGCCCGTCTTGGTATTAGCCAGGGGAGTAGTTGTTTTCTGATAGGTGTCAGTCCATTAATCTACAGTGTAGGTAATTTGAGACTGGCCTGAACGAATTGTTCTTTCAGATAATTTGATTTAAGTGTTTTTGATGAAATGATATTTGGTCAAGGGTTTCACAAAATGAAAGAGTTTGGCATTGAAATTCATTTATTAACGTTTTTCAGCTGATTTAAGAAGTCGACGTATTCCATCCTGAAATTTTCACCAATACTGAAGTTTGAATCTATTCTCAAATGAGAAACGTGCTTGGAATCAGGTGAAATCTGTGGCCAAGTTATGTTATATAAAAACGGATCGACTGTTGGTGTTGGATTTCTGGAAAACAATAAAAACATTGTAGCTGATCACTATAAAGAAATGTAATGAAGTAAATGTTCGAATGTTGACAAACACATCGATATTTCAATTGAAAATATCAATGTTATCAAACTATTAATGAAAATAAGAGTGATTTTCGATCAATTTTGATTCCACTTTCATAGTGGACAAGTGAACCAGTACCCCAAATAGTTGATAATGAATATTTTGAGTGTTCATCAATCGTTTGGGAACTGAGTATTGGGAGTTCGTGTAAAGGTTCTGTCTTTTGTCGTTTCGAGATTGAAAAATAATGATAAATTAAACGAATAAAAAATAATAGTTATGAATGTACTTCCGTTTGAGTGAATTTCATTCAGCTACAGTACTGGGGAGTTGATATGAGAGTGTGCAGTAGTAAGAAAAAAAAGATCATCTTCAAATTACAAGAGTTCGACTGATCTTGCTGTATATACCGTTACAAATGAAGGCTTTGGATGGTCTACAATGTTTCAGAACAATTTTCAGCAATCCAGACTGTTCCAGAATTTCACACAATTACCTGGGATATTCCAGGATTCTCCTTAACGTTGTACAGAATTTCACCTCTTCCATGTATATACATTTTTTATATAGCTCTTTATATTTTTGAAAATAGGTCGTTTTTGAATTGAATGAAAATTAAATGATTGAGGGTTGGGGAAACATAACATTGAAACGATTTTCAAACTCACCAATAAGATACAGCAAAGACTCAAATCAGCTGCTGAAGATAAAAAAAACTACGATCAGCAGCAGGGGTCTATCGTATACCGTGCAATTGTGGAAAGGTATACATTGGAACCACCAAAAGATCCATGTGAACAAGGTTGAAGGACCATGAAAGAAATTGCATACTAGGCCAGATGGACGAGTCGGCTGTGGTAGAACACGCACTCAGTGAAGGAAACCCACAAGTTTCTGTTTGAAAAAACGGAACTCATTGCCCTCGACCAAGGATTCCATAGCCGAATGGTACGGTAGGCAATAAAAGTACACAAACAGACGGATAATTTCAAGAGAAAAGAAACTGTGAACCTGAATCGTCAGAAAAAAATTCCAAAAATCCACGGCCTTCAAACTCGAAAAATAGTGACACTGAATGGTTACAATACAAGAAGTGAACAATACATGATTGAGAACGTGAATACTGCATATTCCATGTTTGTTTGCAGGTGATTGAAAATGTTTCCTGATGAATTTCATTAGTTTGGACTTCCATTGTCTGATATTATATAAAATGATTTGAAATCCCTGAAAGAACTAAAAAAGAAGAATTAAAAATTGAAGAACAAGAATAAAAATGAATAGCTGAAAAAACAATTATATTAAGCAAAAAAAATCCTGAAATGAAATAATAGGGAAATAAAATACAAGTAAAGAGGGAACAAATTGAACAAAAATATAAAAATAAAATAAAAAAGTTGAGAGATTCCAAGCCAAGTTACTTCACGACGTTTCGATTGTTAGTATCCACAATCGTCTTCGGGTGATGACTGGATTGATTCCTCCGTGAGCTGACTATTTATAAGTCATTTGAGTACTCTCACTTATATCTGCTTTCCTTTTTCCGCTTCACTGGTTTAGTGGGAGACGACCGTTTGGCGGAAGTTGGCCATTTTTCGCTTGATTATGGGTTTCCATATGTTGTATATCTCTACGCTAGCTTGGCTTAATACATTGTTGCATAACATGTATGCGGCTTCTTTGAATTTCCTCCTAAGCCAATGTTCCTTTTTGTGTATGATCTCAGCTTGGGACCATTCGATGTTATGTCTATGGGTCCAAACATGGTCTGCTATTCCTGATTTGCTGGTTTCCCCTCGCTGTGTGTGTTTCTTGTGGTCGGCAATGCGAAATCTTGTAGCTGCATCGCTCTTAGATCGTCAGAGCACGTCCAAAAAAATTTTTTGTGAAATCAAAAACTGTTTCGAATCGAAACGTCAATTTTTTTTCATTTCAGCAAATCAAGCACACATTATTATAGTGTTGAAGTTTATATAACTCTTCAAAAAATGAGAACTTACCCATATCTTGCAAAATTGGACCATATTTTCGTAATCCTTTTTGACAATTCCCTCCCCTCTGGAGGTAATGTCTGATTTTCATATTTGAAGACAAATGATAAATCTTCAATGTGCCCCACTCCTGCAATTCAAGCAGATTCACAAATTGGTGAGTTGCTGAGGGTTAATAAATGATGTCGCATGAATACAAATATTTCGAACTCAATGGTAACTCTGATAATAGAACTTTTTTGAAACGTGCAAGAACCATATTCAATGAGAAATATGTCTTATGAACAAAAAACAATCTGAGTTCTATGATGTTCAAGATTTTCAATCACTTGTTACCTCAATTCAGGTGAAATTATTAGTTATTACCTATGTAGAAGGTCTCATGATTCAAATTGGAATAACTGATCTGATATCATTCTCATCAGATAGGATATGGTTCATGTCAAGTAATTTGAAATACCAAAACTACGTTTCATGAAACGGTTTCCATGATGAAATCACATACACACCATTCAGAGATATGTCCACTGGAAAGCCCCCTTCTTTCAAATACAGCTTCGTATAATTCGTTTCATAACCAAATATATAAAAGTAAACAGGAATATATTCAGACATGATGATGGCACTGCTAGTGATTGGTCTTGTATAGAGTAGGTCTGATAAAATCTGAAAGAAACATTCATTACATACTTTTAGAACCGGTATTGTACATGCTCAAAATGAAAAATCAAACTAGTGTGATGAACTTTCACAGATATGAACCATATTTCTCGGAATTACTCAAACCAGTTTGTCCATCAGGTAATGAATAGTTAATTAGAACACTCGTTAACTCCAGATTACAAGCAATACACGGATCAAGTTGATGCCCCGTCATTCAAATTCCAGACTTTGGCAGAACCAAAGCGCTGCCAAAAAAGCCCGTAAGTCAGCAAGTCGTTTGGCAATGATAGTACTGATGAACGCACTGTTTGACGTTGGTTTGCTAAATTCCGTTCCAGAGACTTTAGCCTCGAAGACGAGCCCCGAAAAGGTCGACCTCAATCCTGGACGAGGATATGAGGACCCTAGTGGAGACTGACCGATCATAAACGGTGTATGGGTTGGCAGAAAAAACTGGTCGTCAGCTTCTATGGGGTTTTTGATGATTCAAAAGGAATTGCAAAGCACGAGAAGCACGAAAAGTGGGTGCCACACGATTTGAACGATCGACACAAATGGTCACGTTTCGAAGTCTATTCTTCTCTGTTTATCGCGCAGCGCAACCAAAATGATCCTTTTTTGGATCAGATCATTACGTCTGAAAGTGGTTCCTCTGAAAGTGGATCCTCTACAACAGTAGACGTTCAGGACAGTGATTGGAGACCGATGAGGCCAATTAGATATATCTCAAAAGCCAAAACGAACCAAAAAAGACCATGTGATTAGCGTGATTCACTGTAACTTTCTGTAACCGGGCCAAACCATTACAGCAAAGTCTTATCGTTAGGAAATCAACGAAATGTACCAAAAATTGCATCAGCAGCAGGCTGCACTGGTCAACAGAAGAGGTCCACGACAACGCTTACACGCACAAATCACCATCCGAAAATCAAACGAATTGAGCATCCACCTCACTCCCCAGACCTCTTGCCAAACGACTACCATCTTTTCGAGCACCTCGATAACTTTCTCAGCGGCTGAACCTTCGCCAAAAAGGACCAGACAAAAACGGTCTTTGTCGACTTCATTGAACCACGAGCACACAAATTTTATGCTGACGAAATTAACCGACTCAAGTTATATTTCATTATTTCGGACTTCCATTGTCTAATATGGAGTTGTATTGTTGCTTGTTCTTCATTTCATTGTAATTTCAGTTTTTTTTTTACAGATTCTTTCAGGTATTTCGAATCAATTTATATCATATTAGACAATGGAAGTCCGAACTAATGAAATGCACCACGAAACATTGAAGGTAGTTTCAAACAAACGACTTGTGTTACTTTGGCAAAAGGGTATTCATTGACGTAATGAATTCTAAAGTTGAATTATAGAAACGGACGAAACTTTCGAAATTTTCATGTAACATGTAATTATCGATAAATAATTATACATACCTGCGCTAGTTCATCATCGGTAGCCTCGACGAAACTACCAGATTTGAAATATTTTCTTCTAATTTTCTTTGCAGCTTCACGTCGCTTTATTAAAGATTTTATATTCAGTTGATTCGGAAATAAACCTGGACTCCACTCGTACAATAGTAGAACAAAACGGATAATGTGGATGACTGAAAAATAACCAGAAATCATTGTTACGGAGTTGAAAGCTCACTTCTTTCCCTATCAGTTGTTCATAAATTCTATTATGAAGTTTACTTCTCCACCTCAAAATCATTTTCATTGATATCTTAACAACACATCGAATCGAATCATTCTTTTTTTTGTTGAGTTTATTATTCTCTTCTTTCTGCTTATTCTCAGGGCACAAATCAGTTGAAATTTTCAGACAGTGGAAGTCTGAAAATCCATCAGTTCAATGAACTACAGACATTTGCTTCCGAAGTAAGGCATGTAACGAATATTCGATAATGAAGACAAAAATCTTGCTACATTTTTAAATATAACAAGATTTTTAACAGAAATGTATGTATATCTAATAAACGACAATGAAGACATGTTGCTGGTGAAAATACCAGGGTTCAAAACACATATTGAGATAACTTTTATTGTAACTGGGCAAAAAAAACGGCTGTTGTATAGGCGATATTCATATTTACGGCCATCCTATACGCCACATAATAGATTATTAGTACAAAAAAGCAAAATATTCGATTCATGCTGTTGGTATTCACAGTTCTGGAAATGTCGGAAGAAAAATCGCAGAATTCTCAAATTTACCTAATCCTGAAAATCACACAATATATCAAAGTTATTTGCTGATTATAGTGGAATCATCACAAATTTGAAGAGACGCGGTGGCTGGAAGTCAACCAATGTCGCTGGAGGATAAATACCTGGAGTATTTCTTATGACATTGCAATTGTCAGTTATTCGATTCCTCAAGTCATTCACATCTAGTACAGGATTTTTATGGATAAGAGCCTTCAGGGGATCTCATACATTGGAATTTAGAGGATACGTATCAGGAATTCGAGCTGGCCAATTTTGAGGTCCTGCACGTCCAATCCAGCGATTAGAGTAGTTGATGACGAAATGCTGATGGGCAAGAAAACTGAAATGAGCTGGAGACCCGTCGTACATGTCGCCTCTTATAAGTACCGGCACTTCTTCTAACATAATGGCTAAATAATCTCGCAGAAAGTCAATATAGGATTCACCTGTTGATCTTGCTGTTGAAAAATGGGCCAATTAGGTAATCACCAATCATTCCCATTCAAACATTCAGCGAAAATTGTTGCTGAAAATTACTTTCTCTAATAACGTGGGGATTTTCTTCTACCCAAAAATGGTCATTGTGAAAGTTCACAATAGCATCTCGTGAAATATCTTCTTCTTCAGTAGATAAAATATTTGGTGAAAAATAATTACTGTTTGCCATCGTATGAATCAACCACCCGCAAAACATTAATCAGGGAGAAAATCCCGAGGCAGCAGAGCTTGGATCCGTTGTATATGAACTGTCCATACGGTTTTTCGGGCTGACTCCCAGCTGCAATACAATCTTTCTGGTACTATTTGAAGGTTCTTATTCTATCGCATCAATTATAGCTTCTTTTATTTTAAGCGTTGTTACAGATTCTGGTCTTCTACCACCTGCATAATCTTGCGTATAGCGTTCTAAATGTTTGGGCACATGAAATTACACTGTTAAGATGTCTGTCCTGTTGAATTATCCGTGCTTCTTCCGCATTTCCTTTTGCTAATCCATAAATACTGCATGCCAGCAATTTCAGCGTTAGTGAAATTATTCAGGATGGAATCGCTGCTAATTGATAACTCTAACTTCCACTGATATGACAACACTTTCACTGTCAGCTGGTCTCCAAAGCAGGGGTTCACGATATGCAAAGTTGCTTCAACTTTGTTTCTCGAAAACGAAGCTAGCTATGTCGAAAACACTAGCAACGAAAAAGTTCAATTTCAGTTGAATAATCAAAAAATATAGAAAACTACAACAAAAAAAGTCAGTGGCGTACTTTTTTTCCAATATTCTTGGCTGTGCGGCCCACTGAGACCTCGCTGGATCTAATAATTCCAATCTAGCTTTATTACTTCAAATAACTGTAGCTAATTTCAACCAAATCGGTTTGAGAGGTTTGAGAATATTTATGATATTTTATAGATGCCGTTTATTTTTTTTAAACTTCAACTCCCTGTACTGAGAAATGAAGTAACTACGGACATATCATCATCATCATCATCATCGTTTATTTACACAAAAAAAAAACAGAAAGCATAACAAGGCTATACATTCTGCAAATAAACATTGGGAAACCCACAGAAGCAACAGGTGTTGCTTGTACGTGGTGTAAATAAATTTTTATAACTTAAGATACTGAAATTAATAATGAGTATAAGGTTAACAAAAGGGTGAAATAAATATATACAGAACATAGAACATTTCAAATGGCATCATCAAATATTTGACGAATTTTCTCACGAGGTTGGCTTCTAATTAATTTATCGACCGCTTTTTTCAGATGTGAAAATGATTCTACGGAATGTATGCTATCTGGTAGGGAGTTGAATACAGTTGGTCCCAGAAAATTATAGGACCTCTGACCTACATTCTTGGATGCATATGGTATGATATATTTATTTTTGTGGCGTGTGTTATACTCATGGCTCGGCCGACTTAGTTTTCTCTTTTCCTTGAATTGATTTAGCACAAGTGTCTTATAAAATAATTGTCTTAGGTCGAACATCCCAGATTCCTCATACAACTTGTCACTACTATAGCGGAGAGACTTGTTCAACATCAGTTTTAAGAATTTTCTCTGTATTACGTTTAATGGATACAGATAAGTTTTGGATACTCCTCCCCATCCTATTAAGTAGTATGTCAAATGACTTTGTACAAGACTATAATAAACTATTTTTTTTGTTTCCGGTCCAATCATAAAGAATATTCATAAAGGATTCATAAAGAATAGTTCTTAATTTTTTCCCTAAATAATTTATATGGAAGTTCCATCTCAAATGAGAATCTATTAAAACTCCTAAGTATTTTATATTTGTCGTTGAAGATATTCTGAATGTATTCTGAATAGTTATGAATTGATATTGTGACAAGGAAGATTTATAATTACAGAAAGGTAAGAAAAATGTCTTGTTGAAATTTAAGGTAAGTTGTTTGTAATCAAACCATTCTTTAATCATTTGACCTCAAGCCAGGTTTCCCCAGAGTAGAAAACCGCAGTGTCATCTGCAAAACTAGTTATTTCACCTGACGATCCTATAGAAAATAATGGGTTCACATATATACAGAATAGTACTGGGCCTAAAAGCGTTCCTTGTGGTACTCCATTTTCAATGTTCTTTCCAGTACTCTTTATATTTTGAATTCTCACGATTTGTTTCAGATCTGTCAAATATGATTTTAATGATTTGATTGCGTTCCCTCTTATTCCAATGTTCTCCAGAGTGGTTATTAGTAGGTATGGAGTGGTTAACTGTGTCAAATGCTTTTGATAAATCGATGAAAACTCCTATTGACGGTTTGCTTCTATCTAGTGCTTTGTATATGCTATCAGTTAGCTGCAATAGTGCATTTTGGGTGCATTTCTCTTCCTGATAACCAAATTGTGATCTTCATAATATTTTGTGTTTTTGGATAAATGAATTTAGTCTGGATTTAATTGACTTTTCTATAATTTTGCTGAAGTCTGTGCTTCCACTTTCATATATTGGAGTTTCTATCGATGTTTTCAAGCATGATGGAAAGTGTCCAGTTTCTACAGCCTGGTTGAAAATATGCGTTATCGGTTCAGCGATGAATTCAGTAACTAATTTTAATGTTTCACCTTATAAATTGTCAATTCCAGGTGCTTTTTGATTTTTAAGTCCTTTTATAACGCTTGAAACTTCTTTAGGGGTTGTAGGACTCAAAAATATAGATTTTTCGTTTATATATTCAGTGAATTTATGGTTTGATGATACTATCTGAGATAATGTTTTGCCAATTTGTGTTTTTTATATTTTCAATAAACTTTTTTTCATTGAGCTGTCTTATGGTTTTTTTCTCATATTTTTTTGGTTCAGTGTTTTTTTCGAATTCTTCTTGAACAATAATGGCTGAGTGATCTGTTATATCTGTGAGAGTAACTATCGGGATTGAGAATTCGATATCTTGTATAATACAGGGTTTGATAAAGATGTGGTCAAGACAAACTGCAAGGCGCGTTGGGATTTGACGCTGTTGTTATTTTCGTCGAGGATGTCAATGTTCATATCCCCAACAATGAACTTATATTTATGATTATTTATTGCCTGGGTATCTGGGTATATGTTCATAGGAACTATATATTGACCTTTGTTACCATCAAGCGACTTTGACACATCTATATGTTTGCTAGTCAGGCTTTTCAACCAAAGTAGGTACTTTTTCGTATCATGAAATAACTGACCGTTAAGATAGATAATCATATGTTCTGAGTAATGAGCCAAGAACGTCAGCCTTCTGTATTGAAGCGAATCTGATTTCTTGCAAGCCGTAATGATCTTGAGATTCGGAAAGGAAAAAGTAGTGAATTTCAGCACTTTTCTTTCTCATTACTGATTATTGCTACTGAAACATTGGAGAAGAATTTTGACTCAATTTTAACTGAATATCTCCAGTGGATTGAATGCATAATAATTCATTTTAATGCCTGTGTGAGGTGTATCCAAAAAACTGATAGAAAATAGTGTTGAGATTAAAATAACTCACATCCAGCAATGGAATTTGCCTCGTTTGTAGTCATTCCAGTAATCATAGGGACTCTTGCAAATTCTCCATTTCTGAGGAGTTCAATAGCAGGCTTTGAAATGAAAGCATCGTTGTGAACTTTTTCTATGACTGGAGTGAATAGTAAACCGTTCTCTAGCAGGTTTGGAGTACCCTGAAACAAATAAAGAATAACGATAAACGATAATTTTCAAAGCAGTAGTAAAAAAACCTCTAAAAGAGTTAGAATTATTTTACGAAGTACATATCAAGTGATTTTTTCGAGATTCTTTGAAATGAAAAGAAATATCTTTTTACAGAACTGGTTGATGATTGGTCTCTTATGTTTAACCCTGAGTTTTGTTTATTTTCTGAAACTGGACGGTGACAGTATTAGACAAAAAATATTAGTGGATTGTTATGAAAATAACATAAAAAATTATATTAACGATAATGCTGACAATAATAATTATACAGGAGCTGTATCAACCCGACGTGAAGATCCGAAAAATGATGCACCTTCTTCGGAGTTTGCATCCCAAATCGTCCGTTCCACGGTTGTACTCCCCCCGACAACAGGGAGGCTTATGAAGTCATCAGGAGTTCTGATTCTTTTTTTCAGCATGGCCCACGACCATGAAAGAGCAGAAATTGGAGCATTTCTCTTAAGGGCAGCTGTCCGAGCAGCTGGTGAACTCGAGCTAGTTTTCGACACTCTGTCACGGAGTTGGAACCCGTTTAGCAAAAGGCTCATATAGAAGCCGCAGAGATCACTTCACTTCTGCGGCAGCACAAGGCTGAGCCAATACATGGGGTCTTCTTCAACAATATCGAAAACCTTGGCTCATCAAAGCGCCTGACTTTCGCTTTCCTCAGGTCAAGTGCGCTGAAGTCGGAAACTGAGGAGTTCATCATGGCCTGCCAGGATGTATCTTCAACACCTTAGTCTACCGCAGCCACGTGATGGGTATAGAGGTTCCAGACACAAGGTGCAGGGACTGCCGCGAGGCGTCCGGAACCTTTATGCACTAGCTGTCAGCATGTCCAGCAAATGCGGTCTCGACCTGAATCAATCGACATAACGCGGTATTCTTACGGTATTGACGAGACATCGATGTTGTTCTACAACATCGGGCATATTGAATCTATTGTGGAGAACGAGAAGTGCCGATATTATTAGAACTATCCGTTCTCTAGCATCAGCTAATAAGCCTGATGTAGTCCTTCTCGTCCATCAGAGCAAGACGATATTTGTGATGGAGTATTCAGTTCCGGGCGAGACAAATATCGTCCAAAAAGGGGAGGACAAACGATGAAAATATTGAGATTTACTCTTCGAACTCCGCAGACTCTATCCGGACCACTCTGTCAAGATGGTTTTTGCCCCCTCTACTCTCGAATTTTGAAATCATGCCGGCTTGCTGCACTGAAGCAAAAATCTTAGTCGGACAAATGCAGAAGGCTGTCATCCTTGACTCACTGTGCTTGCTCAGGGCATATGACCTCACCCTAGGGGTGGGGCTGGTCGTTGGTTGATAATGCTGGCGCGTCCTCGTAAATGTACCGGAGCTTTAAGAGATACGTAACTTCTCTATGACCTGGATCGATTACCGTAAGACATTTGAAATGATATCGCATGCATGAGCTTGTGCTGCATTAAATCGGGTTTATTGTGATATGGGTTATTTTCATAAGGAGTATATTTCAGGACGATTTCCTCAGTCCTCTTCTTTGCTGCATCTTACTATTACCATTTTCCGTTGCGCTTCTTTTCTGCATCTCACTAATGCCATTTTCCGTTGCGCTCAGAAAAACTCGAACGTACAACTATGACTCTTGAGAACCGGATGCATGTGGATAACCTTGAAGTTTATGCCTTTGAAGGAAAGGTTCTCGATTAGTCTTTGGGATTTATAGGAGAGTACATGCATACTATGGGTATATGATTTGGAAGTGACACATAGGCAAGAGTTCATCTCAGAGAAGAACGTAACAGGTAGTGCGGAAAGGATGTACACCTGGATATCGGAGAGGTATACTCCTCTGGCTAATACCGTCCATGCCATTTTGATGATAGAAACTGCTACATTCTTGTGATATTTCAATGATTTTCAGACTTTTGTCTTATACATACTTATATTAGGAAGATCTCAATCATATATTTGACACCGCCATGAGAAACGCAAATTTTGAACAATGGAATACATCAGCCATGAAAAATTTTGGAAAATGGAATCGAGTAGATATCAGAAATATCATCGCTAGACGATTTCTCGCAAGGTTGCTGTTGTTCAAACAACGTAACTATGTACATGGCAGGTGTATAAAAGCTGTTCGAATATCACATGATATCAGCAGTTTGAATTTTCGAAATAACACGGAATATAAAGGGGGAAGAAAGTTTTTGGCTTTCTACTACTCCATCTGATACAAAAAAATGGATGAGAGAATCTTCCAAAGAAAGGAAGGATTAATCAATTTGAAAATAAGTAACTCTATACATGGATGTGTAGATCATGCAAAGAAGTAACTTTCAGACACAAACTGAAAGAAAGTCCTCCTGAAACAGCTACTTTCATATAAACATTGAATTACACGAAAGAAAAAATTCTTTCGAAACAAATACTTCTATATGAACACTGAATTATACAGAAGATACTTTTCTCTATTCAGTTTGTATATCGAACATTCGTGGAGGAATAAGAATCAGATATCATTCACATGAGTTCTACTTTGAATGAATGGTAATAAATTGTACTCACATGGAACACTGTCACCCTAACTGGTATACACGTGTTTCGCCTTAAGACACTTGCCCTAAGGCTCTTCAGTACCAAATTGGATAACATTATAGAAAATACACACACTTCATTCATGAATTACGATTTTGAATGTCACGGAATAAGCTTGATCTGCTTATTTTTTTTTTTTGTATCAGATGGAGTAGTAGAAAGCCAAAAACTTTCTTTCCCAAAAAATTAATCACTCCTAAAAATATAACCCTTTCAAATAAAGGGGTAATTGGGAGAATATTAATTTCCTTCAACTCTTGCGAATAAAGATCCATATTGAAACTCATCAATACAGTTTATTGAAGTGAAAATCATGCAGTAAACTGTATCATCATTATCAATGAGTCACAAACCTACTATTCAGGTGAGGGAAGACTGGCCTAAACGATTTGTTTCTTCAGATAATTAGATTTGAAGCTAGTTTTCAAGTATGCCCACTGACTAAATGTGAAATTTATTGAATAGAGTGAATATTCATAATCATATAAAATAAAGCAATCACATCTATATCTACGGAGACATCATCTATGGGTTCAACAGGAGACTCAATCCAGGAATATATGAACAAGGCTCACCAATCCGGTGAATTGTAAAGAAAACTTTGACATCGATCGCCGGAAAAGATTCGTCCCCTGTCTTTCTCTGCAGTTTTTACTGTAAGGCAACTGGATGAACTCGAGATCCAACATCAGACAAAGCTGTGTTGATCCATCAAATAATCATCAGTAGTTATAAGTTGAACCTCTCAAAAGTCCTTGAAATACAACGGAGAGTAATACGTTGTTTATTCTTGGAATTCAAAGAAACTATCTGGAAATGATTATCATCATATCTTTAGCAGAAAAAACGTATACGTAAAAGTTCAAGACAATAGATCTGCTGAATATGGTATGGATTTTGGAGTTCTCAGGGCTCTATCATAGGTCCATTGATATTTCTTTTATCCATATTTGATCTACCTCTTCATCTGAGATGTGAATATATTTTTCTATTAAAAATACAAATGACAATTGAAATGTTCGAAATTTTTTTCTGTAAAGAAATATACCAAAAAAATATGTCTCATTGATTTATCATTCTACATGGTTGCTGAAAAAATTGTATGCGGAACACGTCCTGAAACAGTTTTTCTGGACTCTCAGACTTCCAATTTTGTCCACTTGTCCGAAAAACAGAATTTTCCAGAGTTGTTACATAAATTACTATTGTTACGAAGTTTTTTAGACAAATGTGTTCCATTTGTCTGAAAAAATCACACATCTCTTATCTCTCTGCAGATATTGGTTCCATATATGATTTATTTACCCGAGCGGTATTCAGGGTAAAGCTTGTCGTCTACTTGTCCGGCATACTACAGCACAGCACGGCGCTGTCCGTCTCCTAATGGCGACAGGTAGTAGCATCGCCCACTTGCCCAGCTACAACCAGCATACTGAAGGTGCTGTTTGTTCGATTTCAAGGGAGTTTCAATAGACATCGAGCGGTGACAGAAACGTGTCTACCACGAGTAGTTCTGACGAAGAAGTCGTCATTATAGTGACCGCATTAGATATTGAATGTAGAAGACAAAGGGGAAAATCTGGGAGAGTTTTATTATCTTTTCAATGACCTGAAAGGAGACGACGAGAAATTTTTTCAGTATTTCCGAATGACTCCAAGCAAATTTTCATAACTTCTGGATATTCTAGAGCCTGCCTTAACAAACAACTCAATTTTTCCTTGTTAATTTTCATATGTTTCGTCTGATACTGTGCTGTCAACTGATGGAATAGGAAAACAGAGAGACAGAAACTTGTCAGGCAAGTTTGGACAGTTGCCGGACAGGGTTGGTGAGCTGCAGGCCTTTCCGGCGACGGATGCTCTTGGCTGTTGCTAATGGGCGGTTGTTCATTCATTTTCATTGTTCCGATCCTATCCGTATTCTGACGGGACGGGCCGTGCTGTGCTGTACCGGACAAGTGGGCGACAAGCCCACTAGCCTGGCACGGCACAGCCAAGAGCGTCCGCCGGCGGAAAGGATTCCAGCTCTCCGATCCTGAACGGAAAATAACGGTACGTGCTGTGACGGACTAGCCAAGTGAGCGCGTCGCTGACCAGCGCTTGCCAGCATCAACTTGTTCAAACGTGCCTGGGAAGTTTCTGTCTCTCTGTTTTGGTATTTCATCAATTGACAGCACAGTGGATGAGAAAAAATTTAGTTGCTTGTTAAGGCAGGCTCTAGAATATCCAGAAGTTTTGAAAATTTGCCTGGAGTAATCCGGAAATACTGGAAAAATTTCTCCTCGTCTTCTTTCAGATCATTAAAAAGATGATGAAACTATTCCAGATTTTTCCTCTTTTGAATAGTGGAATGATCCCACAACATTCTTTTTCGTGACTATTT